CCTAAAGCATCCAAACTATCCATCGTGCTTGGTTTCTCCTAAAACATCCACACCATCTATCGTGCTTGGTTTCTCCTAAAACATCCAAACTATCCATCGTGCTTGGTTTCTCCTAAAACATCCACACCATCTATCGTGCCTGGTGTCTCCTAAAACATCCACACCATCTATCGTGCTTGGTTTCTCCTAAAACAGCCACACCACCTATTGTGCTTGGTTTCTCCTAAAACATCCAAACTATCCATCGTGCTTGGCTTCTCCTAAAATAGCCACACCATCCGCCGTACTCGTCACATTAATAAAAGATGTTGTGTGAGTTAAAAATATTCCCTTTGAAATATTGTTGAATTTTTAATATCTACATTTTCGAAGTTTCGATACTATGAATGTCTTTCATGGAACATTTACTGTTAATGGTGTTCAGTTATGTGAAGTTAAAACTCCAACTGGGAATATAATGGTTTCCTGTTGATCACTTAAGATTATTATTGTTTAACATATATTTATTCACATTTATTGTTATATTATAATTTCTTCAGATTACTGACGGAAGAAGAAGATCTTTCTTCGGTTCAATCGGACACTGTCCCTCATGAGGTCAGGGATTGGCTAGCCACTACTTTCACTCGACCGACAATAGCACATTTTGAAGACAAACCCCGATTTCGGTCGGTAGCCAATGCCATCAGAGCAGGGATAATGGTAGACAGGTGAGTACTGCTTCGTATTTACTTTAATAATGGTAGACAGGTAAGTACGGCCTTGTATTGGTACTTTAATAATGGTAGACAGGTGAGTACTGCTTCGTATTTACTTTAATAATGGTAGACAAGTAAGTACGGCCTTGTATTGGTACTTTAATAATGGTAGACAGGTGAGTACTGCTTCGTATTTACTTTAATAATGGTAGACAGGTAAGTACGGCCTTGTATTGGTACTTTAATAATGGTAGACAGGTGAGTACTGCTTCGTATGTACTTTAATAACGGTAGACAGGTAAGTATGGCCTTGTATTGGTACTTTAATAATGGTAGACAGGTGAGTACTGCTTCGTATGTACTTTAATAACGGTAGACAGGTAAGTATGGCCTTGTATTGATACTTTAATAATGGTAGACAGGTGAGTACTGCTTCGTATTTACTTTAATAATAGTAGACAGGTAAGTATGGCCTTGTATGGATACTTTAATAACGGTAGACAGGTAAGTACTGTCTTGTATTTATACTTTAATAACGGTAGACAAGTGAGTACTGCCTTGTATTTATACTTTAATAATAGTAGACAGGTGAGTACGGCCTTGTATCGATACTTTAATAATAGTAGACAGGTGAGTACGGCCTTGTATCGATACTTTAATAATAGTAGACAGGTGACTACGGCCTTGTATTGATACTTTAATAATGGCAGACAGGTGAGTACGGCCTTATAATGCTACTTCATTAAACAACTCGGCCCGGCATGGCCAGGTTGTTAGGGCGCTCGAGTCGCAATCTGCGGTTCGCGGGTTTAAATCCCCGTCACACCAAACATGCTCGCCCTTTCATCCATGGGGGAGTTATAATGTGACGGTTAATCCCACTATTCGTTGGTAAAAGAGTAGCCCAAGAGTTAGCGGTGGGTGGTGATGATTAGCTGCCTTCCCTCTAGTCTTACATTGCCAAATTAGGGACGGCTAGCGCAGATAGCCCTCGTGTAGCTTTGTGCGAAATTCAAAAAACAAACAAACAAACATTATACAATGGGTAAGCGCTGCCTTATAATGGTACTTTAGCAACCAATGGGTAAATGCTGCCTTATAATGGTATTTTAATAAACAATGGGTAAGCGCTGTCTTATAATGGTACTTTAACAACCAATGGGTAAGCGCTGTCTTATAATGGTACTTAATTAAACAAT